CAAGCACACAAGCACACAAGCACACAAGCACACAAGCAAACAAGCACACAAGCACACAAGCACACAAGCACACAAGCACACAAGCACACAAGCACACAAGCACACAAGCACACAAGCACACAAGCACACAAGCACACAAGCACACAAGCACACAAGCACAAGCACAAGCACAAGCACAAGCAAGCACAAGCACAAGCACAAGCACAAGCACAAGCACAAGCACAAGCACAAGCACAAGCAACAAGCACAAGCACAAGCACAAGCACAAGCAAGCAAGCGCAAGCGCAAGCGCAAGCGCAAGCGCAAGCGCAAGCGCAAGCGCAAGCGCAAGCGCAAGCGCAAGCGCAAGCGCAAGCGCAAGCGCAAGCGCAAGCGCAAGCGCAAGCGCAAGCACAAGCAAGCCCAAGCCCAAGCAAGCACAAGCACAAGCACAAGCACAAGCACAAGCACAAGCCAAGCACAAGCACAAGCACAAGCACAAGCACAAGCACAAGCACAAGCACAAGCACAAGCACAAGCACAAGCACATGCACATGCAAATTGTGCATGTGCACATGCACATGCACATGCACACATGCACACATGCACACATGCCCACATGCACACATGCGCACATGCGCACATGCGCACATGCACACATGCACACATGCGCACATGCGCACATGCACACATGCACACATGCACACATGCGCACATGCGCACATGCACACATGCACACATGCACACACGCACACATGCACACATGCACACATGTATACATGCACACATGCACACATGCACACATGCACCTTTTTTTACACATACACATGTACATGTACAGGCACGTCTATGCATGTTCATGTGCTGTTGCCGTGTTCCCGTCCTGTCAGAGTCTCAGAGTCGTAATTTAGCACGGACGGGCCAACCGCACCATGGGCTGTTCTTGTTTGAGTTGAGGCAAATAATATCGAATGAGTGTTTTGGTGTGCGTTGCAGTAGCTTATCCTTGGATCAGCGCCGAGTTGCCCCCTGGACAAGCGGGAGAGAGTTTTGCCGTTTGACTGGAAAGTGAGGCTGGAGCGATTTTGATAGCGTCCTGCTCCTGGATTTCGGCCGGGTGGGCTGGGCCGCATCCTGGGGGATCATTACCATCCTTTGCTACTACGGCTCCCTGGCTTCAGCTGAAGTGGACACAGGTGTCGTTTCTGGGGGTTGGGGGTGGACAATTGAAAGACTTGCATCGGCATTTCCATTTTTCTCCCACTAAAACTGGCCAACCCCCAAAAGACACGATGGATTCCTTTTTCTCCCGACCAGTTGCTGGTTGCAACTGGCCTTTCTTTTCTTATTTTCGTGTGTGCGCACGTAAATCTAACAGAGGCTACCTGCCTTGGATCAACGGCTTCCTCGCCCATCCCGCGTGGATGCCCTTGGTTCGCATGACCTACGGGGCCTACTTGCTGCATCCGCTGGCCTGAGCCTCGGAGAAGGTCTTGAGCCGTGGATCAATGGGTTGTGGGTGCTTCTCGGAGCCTAAAATGGTTGGCTCCCTGATAATTTCCCTTTAAGTCATGGGGTTTCCGCCATACTGGGAAGCTCCACTCCACAGGATGTATGAATCCGGGCGCTTTGTGTGACGCGTGGCGCAGTGGATCACAGGGTGATGCTCTGCCGCGTTGACTGAAACCCACCGGGCAACTGAGTTGCCCGGCTCGCGCCGGCCTCACACTCGGAAAATGTTAAGATGACTGTCCAGCCTCCCCCAGTTGTTTTACCAAGGCCCTGAAAAACAAAAATCCGTTTTCCTTTTGGGGCCCCTTTGCCAAAAAGGAATGAACTCCGGATGAAGAAGCCTCTGTTTATTGGTTTAGTGATAAATCCCCAACAAGACCAACTAGTATTTAACGACTCCAGCCAAGTGCCGGCTAGGTCATCAAATTGGCCGCCGGCACGTCGGTGCAGTACTACACCTTCTCCGGAATGGCATCCTCCTCAGAAGGGAATACTTGCAGTGCTTGCAAATCATGGATGGAGTTGTGTGTCTGTGCGTGTTTTTGAGGGTATTTTGGTGTAGGTTTAAAAGGAAATAAGCAGAACATGCATATTTTCTCGGGTTTGGTCTTGGGACCTTCGGCGTGATGCCTGTTTCTTGAGTCCTTGCGATCCAAGGAACTGTGCTACCGCTTGATCGGCGACTTGGCTGCAAAAGGTTGCTAAGGTGGAAGCTTGGCGCCGGCGCGATGGTCAAGGGACGCTTTTTGTTGTTCTGGGTTCCCTATCTTGCAGGTCGGTGGTTTGCAAAGTGGCCTTTTGGGCCACTTTTAGCTGAGTTTCCTGGTGGGTGAGGCTTGAGAGGGGCAGTTTTTTGTTTTATTTTTTTTTCGTGGCTTCAGGAAGGGCAGAGGGCTTGCTTGAGTTCAGCATTCGCGTTTTGCTCTGGGCAAGTCACAAGGGGAGTGAGCTGAAGGACAGCCAAAGACCACCCCAAACTGGCTTCGGTTTTCCGTTTGGATTCCCTTTAACACCACCAACAAAAAGGGGGTACCTTTGGCTCCTCAGAAAAAGAGGAGCCACCATGCGTGAGGCAACTGCTGCATGGCTTACGGCTTGGCCGTGATTCTCTGGTGTCTCATTGAGCGCCCCATCATGACGCTCACAACAGCAGGAGGGACTCATCTTGCTGCAGCGAATGACCTTCCGGGCGTTGGGAATGAGCCGGAAGGGGATTCCCTTCGAGGAAACCATAGCGGGTGGTTTGTAGGGGTCATTCCGACATTCCCTGCTGAGAACTGAGAACCAGCAAGTTTTGGTCGTCCTTTAAAACAAGGTGTTGCTCAAAAATTAGGGGGGCCCCCAACATGTGGCTTTCCTTTTGGTGTCCCTTCAACACGGCATGTTTCGTTTTTTGGGCCCACGAGCCACCCAAATGGAGTTGCGTATGTGACAGGACTCAAGAACCGCTCCTCCAGTGCCAAGACCGAGTCCTCCAGTTCATCGCCGAACCTGGACGCCACTGTCTCGGAAAAGCTTTCTTTGTGTCGATGGAGACCTGGTGGGTCAAAATTACACCACCCGACCCATGTTTCCATTTGCCAGCGTTCCATTTCAAGCACCTATTTTTGACCCACACCCATCTGGGTGTGTCTCAAAATCCAAAAATGGGTCGGTTTCTTCTAGGTTCCATTTAAAGCCCGCCAAAAAAGGGGGATCCCATTTTGAGACACCCAAAGGTTTTCTTTGTGGGATCGAACCCCTAAGCTCGGTTGTTCAAAACCGACCTTTTGACCTTTTGGTGTTCCGTTTTTGGTCTACTTTTAGTCAAGGTCCCAAAAGTAGGCCCTGAGTAAACGGCCTGTGTCCCTTGATGCATCTCGCCCGGCTTGAGGCCCGTAATCAAAGTGCGCAAGGGGCCTAGTTGCGAGAATGCAGAGCGGGGGGGCTTTCTTTTCTTCTTTTTTTTCTCCCTCTCCTCCCGACAGATCTCAGGGTCTTTTGGCGAATCTCGAGTGCCTGGGCTGTTGGGATTTGGAAGTAAGCCATGCGCTGAGAGGAGGGTGGTTCAACCAGCCATCCGGGTCCAGACAGGTTTTGAGGGGTTGTTGGTGGGTTTTTAGTTACTTAAGCCAATCGTGTGCAACAGCCAGGTCGCGTGGCAGCTTAGCGGACCAGAGGGAAGATGCATGACGCGCGAAACCGCGCGGAATCGAATCGAGCGCGCCCGGGGCCAGACCGGCGGCGTTTCTTCGCCGCGTTCTACCAAAGGCTAGGGTTCGTTTGTTGCACTGGCGGTCGACTTGGCGATCTGTGTGGCCTTTGGGTCTTGGTCCCCATGACGTTTGCATGGGATGCGCAAGGATGCCTTGCAGTCTGGTGAGACTTTTTTGACCGCTGCAAGGAACCTGATGGGGAGTGCTTGGCTCCTCACTCGGGTAGCTTGCGCTTGGCCGAATCTCCGTTAGATCCTTCAGGCTCCCCTGGAGCCGCAATCACTCGGTAAAAGAGGGCTGAGTAGGGGGTCAATCTCAGCCATAGGTCAGGAAACACCTAGAATTTTGACTAGGACTTCTTCCCAATTCACCAGGGCTTGTAAACAAAGCCAGGAATTTCCGCCTTGGGCTGCTATCAGTGGCCTGGCGCAGAAAAGAAGCTGTGGTGAGTGAAGTCGCATTTGGGACGTGCATGGGAGTGAGGCGTGCTTTGGTTGCCCTGGTTCTACATGCGGGTGGTTTTGGGCATTGGCGGTCATTTGTGGGAAGGTTTGAGCTTTGCATGAGTCGCCATGACCAAAACAGCCTTGCAGTTTGGGCGCTTTTGGTTCAAGGCTGAAGAGGACAAAGCGCTTCACGAACGAGCAGACATGTCCGCGGAAGGTTCAGCCTGATTCAGTCGCAAGTGAATTGACACCAAGTGCACGGCTTGGCCGGCGCTCTTGCATGAAACAGGGGGGCACGACATCTAGCACGTGACGGCAGGTAGGCGGAGTTTCGTTTCCTGGTGAGTGGTTTCGCCCCAACGTTATTTCCGCGGTCCCGTTCCGAGCCCAGCCATGCCGCTGAAGTTTCATTGGTTCAGGTGCCTTGCATGTGCGCGCCATGCCCGGTGTACATGTCTGGCCTGTCAGGTAGCCTTTTGGGGTGGCTTAAACAGGGACGGCCAAGGGGCAACAAGCGAACTTTGGGGTCCGAGACGGGCCCTGAAAGCCCATGAGGGCCTTTTGACAAGGGATAAGTCATGCGTGCCTGGCTGCAGTCTCCCCATTTCCATGGTGCTGGCCACCATCTACATGTACTACGTGGCTTGGCTGTGGAGCTGTTCAAGGGCGGAAACCTGACTGTTCTGTTGCAACACCACACTTGCGATGTCTCAAGATGAAGGTGTCCCATTTCAACCGGGCATTTGGAGATCTCTTCTTGTTCTTGGGGGAACATGCAAACAGTTACAGCTTTTACTCAGATCCGGGGGTGAGGGCATGTGGCAAAGGTGACTCAGTACAAGCCCGCGCAGAAGCGGGGGAAGCTGCTGCAGGCACTCCGCGTCTTCAAGGGTTTCAGCTTTTGCCTGTCACTACCTTTCCGGCTGCGGCCTGAGGCTTTTTCGGCTTTTCCGTCTTCTCACTCACCTTGCTTTCCCCTGTGTGTTGTGTTACGGCAAAGTAGCCTCCGTTTTTTCTGCCTAGAGACATTCCAGGCGCCCGTTTCCCGAGAGGTTGGCACAGGCTACCTGGCCCAGTCTTGGCCCCACGCCTGGGCTGCTCTGCAAGTCTTCATTCGCTCTGAGTTTGTGGTTTTACCGCCAGATGCGGGAGGTAAGTCAAGAGGATCGACGTAATCCCGCCATGAAGTAGACCTATACAGAATTCAACATTTTCGTGTGCACGTTCGTGTATGCTCACATGGCGTGGACAGCTCATCAGTCACACGACAGGACCTGGACATGAAGGTGGTCTACCAGCCCGCCTTGTGCGACTTGAGAGCAGGCGCCTCTCTGCGCGCGCGCGCGTTCGCTGGTTCGTTTCAGGAGGAAGTGGGGCTGCGGGGTGGGAGTTGGGTGGGTGGGTGGGGAGTCGGGAGGCGCGGATTCTTGGTGCATCCTTTTTGAAGGGTACCCTTTTTCACCTTGGTTTCAAAAGGAAACCAACAGGACAAAATGCTCCTATTTTGACGCAGACCTATTCTCGGGTTCGTTGGACATGGGCAGGGCCTTTTGTCGTGTGCTGAAGGTGCGGGTTCTGTGTCCGCAACTTAGTGGACAATAGTGCTCCCCTTTTTGATCTCAGTTCAAGCATGGGTACTCATATGTGTAAAGGTGGCTTATTTGGGCTCCACATGATTTGGAGCCGGTAGGGGTACATCCTTGGAGGTGCACGACAAACGTCCCTAGGTGAAGCAGAGCTTGACCGGCCACAGGTGAGGGCGACTTGCTGCACGTCCACTACACAAGCTGCCTGTCATTCAGTCGTCGGGGTAGACTCCACCTGGAGACAGGGCAGACTGTTTGGGAAGCAGTTCCCTCAAAAGTAAGGATTGTCTGCCCCTGTCAATCATGAATCATTGGTCGACTTGGTTCCCACTGACTTTGAGATGTGGGCCGCATGGGTGACGTTCTTGTCATCTTTGGGTGGAAGGCGGTTCTGAATTTGCTGTGTTTATTGCGACGGTGTTTGAAGTCACTGTTTCGCAGAGGGTCGACATTAGTGTGATTCAAGCCATGGTGCCACTGCAAGACATCATTCGTTCCAAGGTTTCCTCGCAGTAGCGGGCAAGCAGTTCGAGACCACCAAGGGTGGCGAGCCGTGCGCATGGTGTTCCGTGTCTCATAGGTGCAGAAGTCGCTGAGTCGGAGGTACGTCTTCAAGCTCGGCAAGTGTGGGAATTCCACCAAGCCAGAGTGCATGCAGGGATTTCGAAACGCCGTGCGCGGAGCTCGGCGAGCCCGAAGTCCAGCACTTGTTCTCCATGCGGTTTTTTTCCATCACTCCCGGTTTGCATTTATCAAAAAGCCGGACATGTTTTTGTAGGAGCCAAAACCTTTGTGGCGCCAAAACCTTCCTGGGGAAACCCATGTCAATCTGCGCGGTATGTCCGTTGGCATGCGGCCCTGGTTCCGAGGACCGGCATGTGCACGGGGGAGAAGAGAAAAGTGAGGAACTCAGATGGGCTTGGGCGATGGAACTTGGGCTCGATGGACGCGCTTGGCGGTTGGCTTTTCGTTGGCTGGATTCCGAATTTAACCCACTGGAAGTTAGACTTTTAGCAGGGGATCTGAGGAGAGTGCTCGCAGTGGGTGAAGTTGGATTAGTGGGACAAGACGCCAAAGACTGGCCCCTGCTGCACCCCGGCCAGCTCTCCTTAGTGGTCCTTCTGCTTTGCTGCACAAGCCGAGTTTGGTTGGAGTAATTATGTTCCAGCTGTTTCACCAGTCTGAATCACTCGCCCTTTGTCTACATGCTGGATGTCTCCTGCTGGCGTGGCGTAAACTCGAGCTTGTCCGATGCCGCCGAAGTGCTGTCGCACCTGGGACACGCCAAGGTCACAATCCCCCCAAAGTTGGGCTTCGAGAAAAAGGCAGGATGCACTGAACCTCGGCCGGTCAATTCCAAGCACGCTCCTAACCATTCCTAGGGGCCTTCCGTTTTCCCTTTCATTTGGGGTTGGCATGCCAGACTGACACACTGACAATTTTTTTTTGGGGGGGGTTTCCGGTCCTTTTGCCCGCTCAATGCCAGCCGCGGTTTTTCGCGACGGCCCAACCGGCACATGGAAGGTACGGCCGCGTGAGATCGGCGCGGACGAGAAGCTGGTGTTTCACATTGAGATGGTGGACATCGACAAGGTCTGAGCCCAGATGGTTGGCTTGGCCCCTGGTTGAAACATGGACCATGGAGCTGATACTATGGGAATATGGGGAGTGGCAGGGGTCCCTATACTTTTCTATTTTTAGGTGGTTTGAAAACAGTTCAAGATAAGTTTCCCGTAAGGGTGATGCCTTGTCAGGGAGAAACCAGGCAACCCTGGTGAGATGGATGCGTGCCCGAGACGAGGGCGTGCGAGGGCTCCGATCCTGGCGCCAAAGACCAGCGCGAATGATTCGGCAGAAAGGGGTTGTTCCGTTGAAGTTGGGTGGATGCTGACAGGCTTCTCGAGTTGCTGGTGTGATAGGCAGGGAATGACTCAGGGGTTGTGCTTAAACGGATGCCATTAAAACATGTTCTCTTGCTAGGCAGGCAGGGAATGATTTGAGGGTTGAACTTTAAAACCATTAAAAAGTATGGTTTATAGTACTTGGTGGCTCCCAGCCATCCCCTTAGCTTTTTGGCCTTTGAGTGTTTAGTGGTAGTTTCCATTTAAAACTTTCAGCGGGGGATCTGAGGGCAGCCCGGAGTAGGGGTCATTCCGGGATTTTCTGAGAACCAGCAAGTTTTGCGGTTGTTTCTGGTTGCGTTTTGATCAGCCGAGCTGGGGGTTTGGCTCAAGCGGCCGAAGCTGATCTCGCCATGGCGCTGGGCACTTGGGGCGCTCTTCCTGACGTAGCTTCAGTCATTGCAAACATTAGTTTTGTCTTTGGACACTTCGCTGTTCTTGGATCAAGTTTTCTTTTTGTTTTCTCCCCCGTTTTTTTTTTGGGTTTTTGTTTGGCTCTGTTCATATTTTCAGTAGGGGGCTGCAAAAGCAAAGTTATGTAAAGCAATGATTGCCCCGGCAAAAGAGTTGATGCCTGAGCTGGCCGGGGGTCGGACGGAAGAAACTAAGACTGGAAGTTGTTCAGCGAACCGTGGAAATCTGAAGCACACACATTGTTTCAGCAGGTCTGTCGGCTTATGCCGACAGACTAGTCAGTGGAGAAGTATTTGGGGAGGTTAGGCTCCCCAAAGAAGCCTGGGCTCCGATAAATGAGCATGTGGAATGAATGAACATGCCCATTAGGCCATTGAGACAGACAAATCAAGCGGGGGAAACGGGCGTATGAGAGGTGTAGGGGTCGATACGGAGTAAGGGGAACACAAGTAAGGGTGCGTGGATAAAACAATTCAATCTACCCTCCCGCCCTTTTTGACACAAAACCCGAGGTTCGGGACGCGGTCAAAACGGAAACTTCAAACCCAGAGCCATTCCCCGAAAGGTACCATTCCCCGCGTTCCTTCAGTTAAAACACCAAAAGGCTGGGAGCCCTCCATGACCCTCCATGGGTAGAGGTATTGTTGACCCCAGATTTTCATTCAGCTCAGTTTCATAGGGTGGGTTTTGGCCCCACCAACAGTGATCTGAATGATTCCTCACCAAACCCTCCCTATAAATAAACCGAAAAAAGTAGTCTGTGGTTTGTGGCCCCTCCAAAAGTGATAAATTATTCCCCACCTTTCACCCAGAAATGGACACCCCCAAGAAAATAAGCAGGTTGGTTGATTAATTTGGGGCCAATATTATGGCTGCGATTGTTTGAGTTTTGTTTCACAACCTTTGGACCGTGTGAGGTGACCTCAAAGTAAGTAAGGGGTAAAGAAAGGGCAAATGAGATCAGAAGCCCACATTTTTTCCGCAAGCCAGATTTCCTCGGTTGAACTCTTTCTTTCGATTCTTTTTCCCCTGTCAGATGCTTAGCTTCTCCCCTCTGAACCCTAAACCCCTAAACCCTAAACCCTACGGGTCTCATTCTCCCCCTCCCCCTCCCCCCCCCCAAAAAAAAAAAAACACCACGCGCGGACGCGGAGCCGACCGCGCGGAAGCGGGGGTCGCCCTGAGGCCCGAGGGGGTGCGCCTGCCGTCGCTGGGGCAGTCCGCCTCCGCGGCGACCCTCGCCAAGCCAGGCCTCCGGCGTTCGCCGCCGGCGGAGAGCCGAAGAGCCGAAGTGGGACCCGAAGCGGGCCGTGGTTTTGGGGCGAGGGTCGTGTTTCAGCTTGGGACTCCACGGGCAAAGACGGGCCAGAGCGGATATGTGTTTTTTTTTTTTTTTTTCTTTTTTTTTTCCCCCGGTTGTGGGGGGATGGTGACGTCACCTGGTGGAACATGTGGGGTGATGTTTCAGGGGAAAACAGTGGAAACCCTGTAGGGTGTTCTTTTCCGGGTTGGTTTGGACTCAAACCAGGGGTCGAGTTTTGCAGGGTGTGGATTTGGCTGAACTGACGTTTTTGTGCTTTGGGATTTGCCGCTTTTTTCCTTTCAACTAGAATTTTCTTTGGTGGCGGGTATCGAAGATGCGCATGGCCAGGTGAGGGGGAGATCCAACGCTCAGCGAGCCACACAGACTTCAGGCTGGGCGGCCATTTGCGAGTTGTCAAAAGAAGATGATGTGGCCCGCGGCAGAGACCAAATTCTAAAGGGGTATGTACGCAAGGGAACCTAGGGCACATGCACATGGTCCATGTAATCTTGTCTAATGTTGTGGGAAATTGGATTGGCCACAGCCGTGCGTGCTTTGCTTAAGGCCTCACCGTGTGGAGTCCATCCCTTGTCTAATCACGACTGAGGAAGTCATCGAAACCTAAGAACGGCTTGGTCACCGCAGGGGCCCCAATTCATCCCGCCTGCGTGCGCTCTTGCACGCGTTTGACGCCTTTCATTTCTAGGGGCTGCCTCAAGTGGCAAAGCGCCCAAGGGAGATGGCTGACGACTGATGTTTGAGAACGATGAGGATCAACTTTGAAAGCCAAGTGTAGTGAGGAATGTGCCACAAAATGCGATCATGCAGTACATTGGGGCTCACTTTTGGTGGCCAGCACCCTGCCAAAGATGCGAAAGCTGAGGTGAAGTTCAAAGGTGACCATGGCATTACGTGCGAGGGCACCCGTGTCAGTCACTCCGTCCTGCAGGCCAAAAATGGGGCTGCAAGGGGACGTCTCACGAAAGATGTTCTGGTACCTCCTTCTTCGAGGGTATCCGTTCGGGGGCTTAGCCTGTATCTTTAGTTTATGGACAAAGCCTCACGCAAGGCCTGATTCAAGGGCCCCCTACCTGCGGCTTTGGAGCCGTTCCGGATTTTGAATGGCTCACATGCCCTGGCCACATGTTGAGTCTCATTCGTGTATGTGCGGGCCATTTCGAACAACTGTTTGTGACTGCAAAGCGCCGGTCCTGAGTTTCAGCTTCGCTGGTGATTTTGCAGTGGAAGGACAGTCAGACATCCGACGAGTCAGCTGCGCACACCGCGCCCACCCAGCATTCAAACCCAGCTCCCTGCTTCAGACTTCCGCCAGCCGCAAAACCCCGAAGCCAAGCCACCCTATCATTCCCACCATCCCGCCACCATCCCCCCACCATCCCCCCGGGCTTCCCGGCTTCCTGGCGTAAAGCTGGCGCTTGCGCGACCCCGTTGGCGCCATGAATCTTCTGGTGGGCTCCTACGACAGCGACGAGGAGGAGCCGCTGGCTCGGCCGCAGGAGCTGCAAAAGGAGCCGAAGGAGCCGGCGGAGGAGACAGCAGCCTGGACAAAATTTGAGGCAGAAGGTTGGTAAATGTCCATCCGCTGAAGTGAATATGTCCTATTTTCCACTGTTGGTTTGCAAGGGAACCTATCATTATTTGACGTATGATTACTTTTTCCCGGGCTTAGGCCAATTGGAGGTTCAAAGTCTGGGAGTGAAGTAGGAAGTTCCCATTGAGGGCAAAGTTGGGTGCAAGAGAACCAGCCAGCGTGGGAGTGGTCCGCTTTGGCATCCTGAACGCCTCACTTGATGTGTTTTCCACCATTGTCCTTGGGGCAAACTTGTTTGGGAGAGAGCTGGAAACAAGATTCTTTTGCAGCTCCCGACATGTTCCTATGCGTCGCTCAGCTGCAGAAAGCCTAAACAGGCCCCACAAGAGGTTTGCTCATATCGTCATGTATGGCTTCCTGTTGTTGCGTTTGCGGTGTGTTCCGCGAAATCGGGCCAGGTGGGTGCTTCGGGTGCTGGTCAGGGTGCTGGTCAGGGTGCTGGTCAAAATGCTGATCAGGGTGCTGGGCAGGGTGCGCTGGTCAGGGCTGTGGTGGTTACTGGCGGTTCTCGGTTTGCCATGCAGGGTGCTGGTCAAAGTGCTTTCGTGGGCTCACGTTGCTGGCAGAGCTTGTCTAGCGCAGCCAGGGTGCTGGTCAGCGTGCTGTTTGGGGGGAGGGTGCTGTTTGATGAGCAACTGTATCATGTCGATATCCCCCCCACCCACACTAACATGAAATTCCCGCTGTAAATAGCAAAAGAAGGTTTCCACAGTCCAAAGTCGTAAGAACGGATTTCGCAACCATCCACAGCAATCAGAAAAAAATCACCAGCAAAGACCCTGCATAGCGCCGTCAATCTCGCAAATCACTGTTCCCTCTTTATTAGTTAGAACCCCTACAGCTTTCAGCTATCTGGGGAACTAGGGGTTTATCATCGGCAAAGGCCCGTGCCTTGGCCCCAGGCGTTGCTCCCTGCCCCAGTCACTGAGATTGCGGTTCCGGAGCCGGAAGAGGAGGACCGACGAACCAAAGCGCCGGCGCGATGGTCTGAAGTTTGGGGAACATCGGCCTGGCCCCGTGTTTCAGGTCTGCGGCCACTGACAATACTGGGCGTGTGTGGGCTTTTCACGGGCTTCAAACATGCTGCGATGCTTGGTGTGAGGATGGGCCTGAGCAGCACGACTCCTTCTGCGAGTGCGCCGACTGTGAGATGCTCATGTTGATGCTAGGCCAAAGTAAGCAGCGTCCAAAACCATTCTTGGCCATTTAACCAGTCTTCATGGGGTTTGTATCAAGGCCAATGCGGAGCTTTCTATCCATGTTGATACTGTAGGCCAAACGTCAATGGGTTTTGGGCATTTCCTTGCCGGTTGGGTTGTGGACCCGGTATATCTGGGCATTTCCGACAGAGTGGAATGCATCCATCTCTTGTGGATGCTGACATGTTGGACTTTTGGACCATTGGACCTGAGGAGATTCATGGCCAAGAACTTGCAGACCAAGGGCATTCGCTTTAAGTGCAAGCTCTGCAACAACCTCTTCACTTCCAAGGCCGGGGAAGCGACAGGATTGTGACTGGAGCATGACGCGGGGTATCAGCTGGGGAAACAGGTTCAACACGATGGAACAGCGAAGCTGTGACAACAGGACAGCGGCTTACATGAAACAAACACATCGACATGTCGGCAGAGCCGCTTCTGTATCAAAGCGACCTGGCCGCCTTTTTCGAGCGAAAACTTGTTGAGGTTGCCAATTGCAAATGGCGGGTTCAAGGGGAGATGACTCCAAAAGGGAGATATCAAGGGAGAAACCCCCGAAAGGAGGCCCTCCGCCCAAAAGGAGATTGTTCCAACACCTGCATGTTTTGTTTTTGCTCAGTAGGCAATGAAGCGAGGGATTCCCGAATAATTTTCTCATTCCCTGCGTCTCCCTGCATCTCCAGCAAGTAACGAACACGGACACGCCGAAACCAAATAATAAAGATCCGGAGTGCACGCAGGAGTCCCCCAAAAAGAGATTCCCCCAAGCGGAGATTCACCCAGATTTTGGTTAAATCTCTGAACCCCAACCCCAACCCCAACTCCAACCCCCAACCCCTAAAACCGTGCGCACCCGTGCCGCGGTGCCGCGCGCTCGAAAGCTCGCGGCAGGTGGGGGCCGCGGAGCACTTCCGCACGGCGAACGCTGCGGAGATCCGGGCCTTCAAGCCGCTCCGATGGATCCCAGCTGTCCGGTTGGTTTGCGTCTTTGGATCTGGCGCAAGGTGTCAGGCAGTTGGGCCTGTTTTTTGGGTTTCAAAAAGGGGTCACCCTCTTTTTGTAGGTTTTGTAGGTACGCAATGGTTTCCAGTCTCACGTCCAAAGCTTCTCGTGTGGGCAGCACGGTTGGTTCACACTGAAATCCTCGCAAAGGCAGAACATGCACAGGGACACCCTTCCCAAGGCAATTCCAGGGGACCGGGCTGGGGCGAGGACCTAGGCGTGTGTTCAGGCCAGCCCCCCCCCCCCCCCCGTTTGCGTCATGTTGGTTTAAGAAGCGCCCAGAAGTCGAATGTCCCTTTCATGGCCGTGAAGTGGCAGCGGGACGGCGGAACCAACGGTTGACCCGCTGCCTGCTCCCTTTCCGCATGCCCCGCCGAGGAAAGAGAAGATGCCGCGGCTCTTCAAGGACGGCCCCTCAAAGCAGGAGCAGGGTTTGAAGTGAAAAACCAATGGTGCTCAAGCGCACTGTCTAGAGGGAAATGGCATTAACCGGGCATGAACTGCAACGAGCTCACTGATTTCGGGGGCCACGTTGAAGCTTCCTTGAGGACTCCTGATGTCCAGTTTGTGAGCTCTAGTAGCTTGCTAAGATTTAAAGCAACTAAAGTGGGGGACCGGGCCCCCCGAAAGTGATATGAAACTGGCCACTTTGACAGGCCAGTGGCCCTTCGAAATATCAAGACTGACGCCAGAAAGCACACCTATGCCTCCAGAAGTCGGTTCAAAATTAAGGGGATGCCAAGAGCTGCATCATTGTCCGGGAGCTTGCTCTTGTTTTCCTCTTTTCTTTTTTTTTGGGCGGGGGTGGTTGCAGGGGAACTTTCTTCCGCTTTGGTTGGCTTTTACCGGCAAGCCCACACAGGAAACTGTTGACACCAGCCAGTGTTTTGGAACCCACATGTTTGGGAAATTGGTTTCCCTTTTCACGAACCCTTCAACAAAGGGTCCGTCAAAAGAAGACGCACCACCAAGGGGCGCCCGTCGCGACGTGTTTTTTCGGGGGCGTCCAGCGACCAACAAATCCTTGGTTCGAGGAGCTCGCAGCCATCGCCCGGAAGAAGGACTTCGAGCGGGACCGGGTCCTGGGGAAGCGGTTCCGGGACGAGGACCGACTTTCGCGGGGAGTGTGCTGGGTGCTGATCGGACTGGGTCCTAAGGCACTTTGAGCGAATTTATTCTCACAAATGTTTTTTGTTGGGCGGTTCAGGGACATTTTGAGCAGTGGAAAGGGGTTTGCGTAGCGGTTTGCAAGGAAATTCCAGGGAACCACCCGTGGATCACCTCTAACTGGAGGTGGAGTCGGTACCTTTTCAGTGGTCAGGGAATGTGGTGAGCGCCCTTATATTAAGACCCCTCCGGGTGTACCAAAAACCTCCCCGGCATCCCACACGACTTTCTCCGCCGGCTTCGTCGGCGGCGCGGCGCCAGGACGAGGCCTTCGGGGGCTGGGCCAAGAAGGAGAAGCCCCCGCCCCCGCCCTGCGAGATGCCGGACGAGGGCATGTCCCTGGCGCCGGAGATCTTCGTGGCGCCGCCCTGGGAAGGCGCGGGGCGCGCGGGGCGCGGGGGCTGGGCCGGGGCTGGGCCGGGAGGCTTTCGGACCCAAGTGGGCCACCGAGAGGCAGCTTTGGTTCTGAGGTCTGCGCCGGTTAGACAAACAAGGGTCCGGTTTTTTTTTTGGATGGGGATGATGACTACACGCTTAGGCACTCCTGCTTCCACTCCCACGTTGCTGGCTGCCCAACAATACAGGGCAGATGAGAAGGAGAAGATTTCCACTTCTTTGAACTGTTTACGTCCTTGTAGAGGCATGTCACTGGAGCGTGCCATTGCTGAATTTTCCGAACTCAAACAGTGGCCCAACTCGGGCAGGGAACTCCACCTCAGAAAGGGGTGAGATCATGTTCGACCAGTTGCAACAATGTTAGACCATAGACCTTTTAGAACCGACCTGGCATCTCAAGCATGGAAACACAGATATGCCGCACACGTACTAGTTGCCTCCACAGAAAGACTCACTGCTAAGGTGGTTTTCACTACCCCCCCCCCCCCCCTGCCGCTATCCGCAGGGGTCTAACCCGACACACAGCCTCTAAACAGGCCACTCCATGTAAATGGCATGCGCCCAGTTCCCTTATGAGGTGGTTGGGATGGTGCCAGCCGTCCCCAGGTCAGCGCCCGTCGGACGACGACGCCACGGAGATGGACAGAGAGTTGGACCGGCGCATCACCCAGTCGCAGACCTTGCGCTTTTGCAAGCGGAATGTGCTGGAGGCGGGGGCTGGGGGAAAAAATCGGCCGATCCGCCGACATTTTGGTCCCAATTGCTTTGAAGGGAAGGCAAAAAGATGTTGTTTGGGCAATGGTGGTGTGAACCATGGTTCAGCAATTGTTTAAATCACCTCTTCTTGGTTTCCGTTTGAAGTCAGCCAGGGTCACGTTGCGCCACAAGGGTTGGTGATTTTAGGTGGGCGTGTGTATCTTTTTCGAGCACCCCAAAACAGTGGTCTTCCTTTCGTTTTTCTTCTAAAACCACCAGACAATGACTTGGTGGCTCCCGGCCATCCCCACAGCTTTTCAGCTTTTTGTTGGGTTTCCATTCGACCCACTACAAGTTATTTTTTCTTTTAGCCTGGGATCTGAAAACGGGCAGCCCGGCTGAGAGGTACCCCCGGCCGCCAGCCAAACGCGCCGCCGAAATCGAATTCGAATTCGCGGGGCCCAGGTGAAGAAGGACACGGTGCGGTGCAAGCTCTGCTACAAGACCCTGACCAGCGTCCGACAATGCGAGGAGCACATTGGCCGGGACCACGAGGAGGACTTCAAGAAGGAGAGCTGAAGCTTTTTGCTGGGGGGGGTAGCATCCTTCTTTCTAAAAAACCTCCCAAAACTCTGGGGTAACAGCGTTTTTTTTTTTGGTTGAAAGGAATGAGGAATCAACCCCCTAAAAGTTTGGGGTGTTCCCTGTCGCCGGTGCGATAGGTTGGGAATGAGAAATGGAATCGGGAACCCCCAAACAGAGCCTCACTCCTTCACTCAGTCCAAAGCGAATCGAGATCCGAGCTTGCGGGGTTCTCATGGTGGTTGATTCTAAGTCAAGGTTTCAAAAGGTGATCCTTTTTCTTTTTTTCCATCTGGGTCCGGCCAGGGCAACTGAGTGGGCCTGACCAACATTTTGGGCCTTGGGTTCCATGTGAACAGGGTGCAATTGAAAAGAAACCAAAAGGACCACATCTCTTGACACAACCAACTAAAAGAACACCAAAAGGTCCCAAACAAGAGTTGACACACCCATATGAAGCGTGTAGTTTTCAAACACCTCAGCCGAGAATAAGACATTTTACCTCGAGGCGCGCCCATTTTAGTGGGGATTGGTTGATGTTCACCGGGGGTACGATTTGGATTTTGACACAGCCAGATGGGTTCCACTGGTTTAGATCGGCTTGCCATCCATTTGCCAGGGCCATCTATGTTTCCAGGACACCTATGCACAGAGCGTGTCCCTTTGTGAAATGCGAGGTTGCAGGCTGACCAATATCCTGATGCATGGTCTTTCTTCTGAGGGTTGCTACTTCTCAGCAAGAGTCAAGTGCCTTTGCGCGCAACTCCAGTGCGGAGTTGGCTGCAGCCTAAAGCACGCAAAGAGAAATATGAATGAAACTATTTGAAACATGAGCTTGTCAAGAGGGAGATCAATCGAAGAACAAACAGAAACCCTGATTTGTAGGGAAACCTCCTTTCGGGCATCCATCACTGTTTCTCCAGCAAATGGCTGCTATGTGTTCCCATAGACAAAATCGATATATATATATATATACATATGGTACATATACACCTGTGGGCTTATATGTATACACACACACACACATATATATATATATATATATATATGTGTACGTACACGTGTATATAATTTATGCAGTGTTTTCAATGGGTGGTTTTCAACAAGCTGGTTTGCTTTTGGTTGGTAGTTTCGGGGCGCCCTAAATGAGACACCCGCACAAGAAGGCCGGCCCTTTTTGGGATCGATCCCATCCCAGAAATTGGTGGATGTAAGCAACCATAATTTCATTGTTTGACTGGGTCGAGTTCCCAGGACCTGTCCTTTTGCGGAAATAACCCTCCCCTGGGTTGAAGTCTTTGGGGTAGTTATAAACAAAAAGGATTCCTGGCAACCCGGTCAGGAGCTGAAGATCTGGGAGCGGTTCCTGTTTACCACCTGCAAGCGCCAGCCCCCCTTCGGCTGGACCTGCAAGATCTGTCAGGTCTTTTTCGCCTCGGATGGCAAGGCATGGCGCCACGTGGGCAAGGAGGTCTACGTCAGCTATGAAGAGCGGCACCTCGGTCGCCCGCAAGGCGCAAAGCGCGGATCGGCCAGGTCTGACCATTTGGAAGATCCCCTTTTGTCCATTATTCTATTGGCTGCCCAGGTTTGATCCATTGTTGGTCATCCTTTTGGAAGACTTTTTTTTAACAACCTTTTTTCGTCATGGCAGCCCAAACGCAGATCACATTTGATTTCCAGGTCCAACCAAACCTGGCGAGTAAGGCACATGGGTGCCTGGCACGAGAAGGAGGACCGCTGGGGCCACGCAGAGGATGAGGAGTGCTGTGGGGATGGCATCAACTCCGCGGGAGGGCTGAGCTACGAGAGCGTCTTGGCCTTCAACAAGGCGCAAGCTGAAGAGGAGGCCAGGAAGAAATGCATGGAAGAGGAGAATGCGAAGAAGCGGGCGGAGGACAGCTCTTCGTCCTCGGATGAGGAGCCAGCCGCCGTTGGCAAGGTGCAGCCCATCGAAGAGTTCTGATTGGTGCAGGTTGGTGTAGCTGTCGCCGGCTAATTCTAAGAGTGCATGGAGACATGGTGTTGTTTGCCGGATTTGGCGAAAAGCGGCAGCTGCTTTGGCTGACTGAAGAAAAGCTGCTCCACCCCTTTTAGCGCGGTTTTGGCCATGGGTGTGTCTTTTTTTTGGGTCCTGAACTCCTGCCTGGTTGGTTTTGGAAGGCAAACTGAGAGGACACCACCTGGTTGTACAACTTTCCTTGGAACCAGTGGTTTACAACTGTTCTTTGGAACCAACTGATAAAAAAAAAACACCTTCTTGGATGTTTTGTCCAACTCCTGCTTCCGGCTGTTTTGGAGCAGGCCTTAGCCTCTCCGGTTTTCCCGTTGTGCAGGCCTGGATGCTGGGTGTACGGCCGGGCTGGACGGTGCTAAGCATCGAGGGCCAAGCGGTGCAGACCAAGGACTAGGCGTTTTTCGCATAGGTCTGTGGGCTGTGGGCAACACCCATGGTGCCATTTTGGGGTAGGTGCACCACCCATTTTAGTCTATTTTAGTGGGGATTGGGATGTTCACTGGGGGTACGGGATTTTGACCCATCCAAATTAGGGGGCCCTCCACTGTAGGTGGTTGGTCTCTTTTTGGTTTGCCCCTGTTTTGAGGAAAACCATGTGTCAAAACAGGGGGACCCCCAAATGGTTGTCTTCCCTTTGGTTTTCCTTTAAACCAACCTGGAAAAGGGTACCTTTCAAACATTCAGACCCGTCAAAAGCTTTTCAAAAGGCGACCTGCAGTCAGGGTGACCGCTCTCAGACCAGATTGGAACCCAGAAGGCCAATCACTTTGAAGGGTGCTTTTCAGGTCCCACTCTTTTTGGTTCCATGTTAGGTTGCAGCGGAGTACTTCTGGGCGTGTGTTTTCCATTGAAGGCACCAGTCGGGCAGTTCTACAAGGACACCAAGAGGATTTAGGGGGGGCAGAAGCGACCTCCCAGCCCTATCCCCCAAACGGTCCGTCTGGAAGACTATAGTTAGCCTACGGGTGGGAGGTCTCTCAGCCGCGATCCGTCCAGGAGGACATCGAAGATGCCCTTCAAGCTGCCGCAGAGAAGGAGAAGAGGCGGAGAGGGGATCCTTCGTTTGGCCGCTGTTCAGCTCAATCTGCAAGATCCTTCTTCCTTGCAAAGGGGTGTTGTTTTTTGCCTCCCAGTTGGGCTTACGGAGGAGCTGTTCAGTTGTCTGCAAGATCTTTTGGGCCTTTGTGGCGGCCTTTGTATTGGTTTCATAGTTGGGATGTTGGGGGGAAACCGGGGAAACCCCAGCATTTTAAATTTTGAGACGCCTCCTTCGTCCGACCTGTTGCTTCTCTTCCGCAAACACCTGTGACTTAAGGAACGGACCTCTTGTTGCATTTGTGCCCACGAGCACCTGCGGGAAATATTTGATGCGTGTCTGTAGGTCCTCTTGCGGTGCGCGCCAGGTACATGGTCTGCTTCGAAAAGGGGGCGGGCAAGTTCGGAACGGAGGCTCGATGCGCTCGCAAACTGACCCTCCGATCTGAATTCGAGGACTCGAGGATGGCCACCGCACAACCCAAAATCGGAACGACCAAAGTCGCAGTTTGCCCCCTTTTTGTGAACGGGTTTTGCTTCATCCTTTGGTTTTCCCTGCGAACCAACCCGCACGAGGGTCGCATGGATGGACAACACCCCACACCAGGTGGTAGGTGTTTTAACTCGGTGTCTCCATGAGCAGTTTGCCTGCGTCTCATTCTAAGGTTTGATTCCCCATTCCCTTACAGAAGCCACCTATTTTTCAGGGTTTGGACAATCTTTTCAAGAGAGAAGGATTTCTGAAGAGAATGAGGAGGGTACAGCTAGACTTGGAAGGCCAAGGAGAAAGCAGAGAGGGAGAAGCGGCAGTTGGCCAAGCTGCGGAAGGAGTTTCGCTTCCAGGCACCAGCAAAGGGCCATTTTTTTTTATTTTTTTTGGGGGGGTCTTTTTTAAACTTCGGGGGTCGTTTCTTTTGTTTTTTGCACTTCCCATCAGCTAACAGAGCTTGATGTGGCATGACTCGTGGCTGCTTGGAGGGACTGTTAGTTGGTGGCTTGGATTGGTGGCTTGGATTTGGATTTGAAGCCCAGGCTTTTGTAGAAATGGGACCCCCTTAACCACCAAACCACGCTCGAAACCACCAATTGGAGGGAGGCGGATTGTCAAACCACAAAGAAGCCGTTGCGATTGGGTCCCTGACGGGGTTTCGGACCTCCAAAGGTGGCAGGTTACAGATGGCGGGAGTCGTTTCAACAGCGTTTGGGTGTTGTCCCCACGTGCGAAGAACCGACTCACGAGTTGACCACCGTGCACGAAACTCTTTTGGGCAAACTGCAGCTACCCTTGGAGGTCTGTAAATACCCTTTGTATCTGGATGCAATTCTTCCGAGAAAGCGGCCGTGTCCCGGCAGTCAAAAGAATGATGTCAGGATTCAAGTCTTTGGGCGAGCTGCCTTGGCCGAGGAATGAAACAACAAAAAATGGGTGTTGCCCCCCGCTAAACCCACAAATAAAGGGTATCAATTCTAAAAAGATGAGGTACACCCAATAAAGAGCAGGCTTTCAAGGAGTCTGCAAGGGGAGTGACTCTGGGCTTAATCTGTTTTTAATCCTCCTTTCATTCCTTTTGGACGTGATTTCAACAATAACAATGGCTGAAATCATGGTTGAAGAATCTGGACTTCAGACGAACGATCTAGAGTAAAGGGAAATGGTGAAGGGCTCTTTTTGTTTTGATATGGCCAAAGGGCTCTTTTGTGGTGCGCCTCCCCCTTCCACAATTCCATACAGTACATTGCCGCAGTTTTGCAATAACTCCACAACCTGAAACAAAAAATAATTTCGCAGGTAAAGGGCCTATGGTGAGCTCGTTTTACAGGGGCCCTTCGAATAGGCAGACCAATGCCCCAACCAAAAGCAAGCACAGAACTGGTCCCAATGCGCTCTGTGTACACGGCTGCGACAGCAGCAACCTATCTCGCTTCGAGTTCCTTCGCCCACATCCACTCGCAAACTCCACAAATGATCGACGGATTCTGCAAGTTCAATCGCGCCCAAATGCGATGTCTCGCAAATGGCGAGGTCTGAAACAGGCCTGACTGGAGGTCCCTCCAAAGGTTGTTCCCGGTTCCAGAGATATGGGGACCCATTCTCTGAGACTCCCAAGATGGCAGACATCGCCCGAGATCGGTTTCATTTTCGCAGCTGGGGCACGGCGCCCATCTGCCTCGTCAACCTGCCCGCTTGCCAGGGCCGCATCGAGCGCAGCGAGCATCGAGGCACCAGCTTCGCGCAGCTGGAGCGCGTGCGGAGACTCGGGGACTCGGGGGCTCGGGGACTCGGGGGCTCGGGGACTCGGGGACTCGGGGACTGCGGTCGTCTGAAAAACACGGGTAAACCCCATGGGTTGAACAGTGTCCCTTCAAGGATGCCTGCCAGTGAAAGAGATCACCGAAGCGCCGGCTGACTTAGAGAATGCGAGTCCTTGAATAGCGAGTGGTTTTTGGATGCATCCTTTTTTGAACCAAGATCAAGTATCCCCGAAGTGGTGGGTTGACTTTGTGGTTTGGGGATTCGAACCCGGTTCTTGTGGAGGGTAAATGGGGAACTGTTGAACCGCCAAATCACCGGCCTCCCAACCATAAAGTTTGAGCGAAGGTGACAAAATGCAATGGGTTTTGGATGCGAATATTTATTTGTTGGCCTGCTAGTGTGACCTTAGAGATTCCGAATACGGGGGCCTGAGGTCTCCCCAGATTTGGCTAGCTATGTTGTTTTACTTGGGTGGTTTCGCCGAGAAAAGGGGGGGTCATCGTCCTCAACTCTGGGTTCGTGAAGGGTTCTCATATTTTCCTTTTTGGCCCAGTGGTTTCCCTTTATACCACCATTTGGTGGGTGGATTCATCAGTTGATACATAACTAATTGGGGGTGTCCGCGTCAAAGGGGAACTGTCACACTCAGGCGGGAAGCATTCCGGCTGATTCGAGGGGTTCATGCGCCCGGGGTCAACAGTAAGTGAAACCTAGTTAAGCGCCCTGGTGGATTCGCGGCCGCACATGGTGCACACGGCTCAATTGACCGCAGCGCGCGCAGTGGTGTTTGCCGCAGACAACGCGCAGAGTGAACCTTCGCTTCGGGTCGCGGCTGTTTGTTCAGCGCCGGGGGGATATTCCCCTTTTGGGGAAAGCGTCGCTTGCTGGGCCATTTTTTTTGTTCTTTTGCCCTTTGGCGGTGTGATATCGGGAAATCCGAGCTTCAGAGAATGGCGGGTGGGTGCCCTGTGGCATGTGTACTGTGCTTGGTAAATCCGACGCTATATTTTTAGACATATCCTGAGCAGGCCCTGAGATACAATTGGAATTTGCTTGCGGCTCGGCAGTAATCCTCGCAGGCGACAGGGAAACATCCACTAACAAACATCCCCCACCAACATGGAACCTGAAGGCAAGTACATTTTGGGACAGCCAAGACCACCCAAGAAATAGGGTTTGCCAAACTGCGCACCGATTGGACGAGCTGGCGCTGAGGTTTGTGGCTGTTTGGAGGCAGGCGCCTAAAAGGGCCGGCGCCAAAGCGATGTGTTGGCTTATGATGGGTTTTGTTTGGTTTGTTTCCTTCGTACACCATTTGGTTTGGTTGGCTTAGGATGCGTTTCGCTTGGTGTTTTTCCTTTGATGGCGGTTAGTTGGGTTTGGTTTGCTTCGGATGGTTGCGTGGGCTTGCAAGGCGGCTTTGGGCCTTCTCCCGGTGCTACCGCCAGGAGAACTGCGCGGCGTGGACGGACCACTTGCCGGCGAAGATGTCCAAGACATCGGGGAAAATGCGGGGCGCGCCAAGTTGCTGCCGATGTGATGGCGAACTCACCAAGCCGAGGGGGAAGGGAACTCAGCAGGAAGGTCCTTCACTCAGGGATCCCACAATGCCTGAATTCAGGTGGAATTATCTAAATCAATGTGGATTCAGCATGGCTGTTTCTATGGAACCCTGGCACCGTTGCAGGGTCACTCCAACGAGTTAGAGTGACCATGCCCATGTGGTTCTTGTTTAATCTCCCCCCGCATGTTGGCCTCTCAGGTTGCGCATGGACTTTCTCAACTTTCACCATCTCAGCAACTACCTCATTTTGCCCATGACCAAGCCTTCCGCCTCAGATGTCGGATGCTCTTCGTGGGGGGTTCTACGGGTTGAGCCAATCTGGTTCCAAAAGCTGCGGGCTTCGCAGCGTGTGTTCGGTAATGGGGAGGTGGTTTCCACTCGGTGGGTTCCAACCCCGCAGAGGCGTCTACGCACTCAAAAGGGCCTAAGGCACTAAGTCGCTAAGGATCTTGCTTCAGAGGCCGAGAAGAGGGAGACCTTCTCAGAATTCTTCTTTGCACAAGTCCTTTTGTTAGAAGACACCATTTTTTCCTTGGGGACACCAAGGTCCCGGGTTGGATCCTGTCGCAAATTGCGAGGCCTCGGAAGTGTGCCTTCGTAGAGATGCTCACTTCCCAGCCGCAGCAGCCCGCCAGGGACCCTGAAACCCTGGGACTGTGGGAGCCGATCGATGGAACTTGTTTCTCGCGAATATATGTATATTCCTGATAAAACAGCTTAAACAAACTAGAGGACGATTGGCCCGAAAGCATTTTTCCACAGGCGCTCATCCAGCCGCGGAGACACCTTTTTACATCGCTGCGGCGAGCGTGTCTGCGCGCGGCGATGCTCAGTGTGTATGGTCACATGAGAGCTCCATCTCATCATCCTACTTTCCTCTCGAACTGCGCCGCGCGATTTCTCACGAAAGTGGTCTGCGCAAGCTGCATTGTTCCAGGCTGCTGCGCGCAAGTTGCTCTCTGCAAGCTGCTGCTGCACGCAAGTGCTCTGTGCAAGTTGCTCTGCGCAAGTGCTCTGAGCAAGTTGCTCTGCGCAAGTGCTCTGCGCCAGTTGCTCCGCGCAAGCGCTTTGCGCATGTGCTCTGTGCAAGTTGGTCTGTGCAAGTTGCTCTGCGCCAGTTGCTCCGTGCAAGCGCTTTGCGCATGTGCTCTGTGCAAGTTGCTCTGCGCAAGTGCTCTGAGCAAGTTGCTCTGCGCAAGTGCTCTGCGCCAGTTGCTCCGTGCAAGCGCTTTGCGCATGTGCTCTGTGCAAGTTGGTCCGTGCAAGTTGCGCTGCGCAAGTGCTTTGTGCAATTGCTCTGTGCAAGTTGCTCTGCGCAAGTTGCTCTGCGCAAGTGACTCTGCGCAAGTTGCTTTGCGCAAGTGCTGCCGGAGCTGTGGGAATGTACTTCGCATACTATTTTTGTACTTAAAAGTTGCGATTTTCCAGACGGAGCTGCAGGAGTACGGTCCGCGTACTACGTTGCGATTTTCAAGCCGGAGCTGCGGGGGTGTGCTCCGCGTACTACGTTTGCACCTAAAAGTTGCGATTTTCCAGCCTGAGCTGCGGGAGCATGCTCCGCACATTGCGTCTGTACTTAAAAGTTACGATTTTCCAGCCGGAGCTGCAGGAGCACGCTCCGCGTACTACGTTTGTACTTAAAGGCTGCGATTTTCAAGCCGGAGCTGCCGCGGACCAGGGGGGAATCGAACACCCGCGACCGCGGGATTGCGAAAGCAGGCGCGCAAACCACGAGACAAGGCGCCACAGCGAGAGCACTTCGACACGCACAATCTCCGCAGAGGGTTCGCCGAGACTAAAACAACTTCGCACGGCGCCACAGCGAGAGCGCTTCGACGCGCACGATCTCCGCAGAGGGTCTCCGCAGAGGGTCGCGCGCGCACCGCAGAAATCGACCAAAAAGTCCTCAGTTTTTGAACCTCGACCACGCGAATCTCCGCAGAGGGTCGCGCGCGGCCAGCAGAAATCGTAAAAAGTCCTCAGTTTTTGAACCTCGACCACGCGAATCTCCGCAGAGGGTCGCGCGGGCATCGTGCAGTTTTTGACCTCGACCAAATCTCCGCAGAGGGTCGCGCGCGCATGCGAAATCGTAAAAAGTCCACAGTTTTTGAACCTCGACCACGCGAATCTCCGCAGAGGGTCGCGCGGGCATGCTAGAAATCGTAAAAAGTCCACAGTTTTTGAACCTCGACCACGCGAATCTCCGCAGAGGGTCGCAATCCCGAGCGACGATCAAACTCCCGCCCCGGCGCCTTAGAAACGTAAACTGACTTACATAGCTGCTCTAAGCTCTACCTAACCTTGGCTCTATGTAACTTGGCTCTATGTAACTTGGCTCTATGTAACTTGGCTCTATGTAACTTGGCTCTATGTAACTTGGCTCTATGTAGCTTGGCTCTATGTAACTTGGCTCTATGTAACTTGGCTCTATGTAACTTGTCCAAGGGCTCCGCACGAAAGAACCCTTCGCGATGCTTTCGGGAAAAAAACACCGGATGTGGCAGCATAGAGGACCCGCTTACAAGCAAACTCGACATGATTTCAGCGAAAGCCAGGGAGGTGAAGTTTTTGGGTCGAAAAAGAGCCGTTGTGGGGGAGCTCCGGACCCCCTCTCTGGGGAGATGTCCAGTCTTCAAAGAGCATCCACTTCAAGCTCCCAACCAAAATCAAGGACCGTCGTATTCCGGTTTGGGTCCATGCCAAGGCAGATGTGCCAATCTAGAATCTAAAAGGGGAATTCCTTTAGATACGTTTTGCGCATGACTTTGTAGGTCAAGCTGGGGGTGTCTGAAAATCAGGGCCCCAAAACGGTTGATTTCTTCTGGTTTCCCTTTAAGCCCGACCAATTGGGCTTCCCAAGAAAAGACCCGTCGTTTCTCACCGGGGTTTTGCACGCTCCGAGTCCTGGTTCGTGAGCCATTGGTGGGGCACGCCGGCTGCCGCCTCAGTGGGCGTGGACGCTTTGCTGAGAGGCGCATGATTCTCTTTCCATTTCTTTGGTGCATTTTGCTTGGATGTTACGACTTTAACTTTTTGCCAACTAGTGGGTTTTCCATTAAACCACCAAAAGTTAGACTTTTACAGGGGAGCAGAAAGCAACCGAGAGGGTCTGCTGAAAAAGCCTTGGAAAATCGGATCCCCAAAGCATCCGCGAAATCAAAGTCTCGTTCAAGGAGGGTGGCTAAGGGCTTCACCAGGCCGCCAGACCCGTTGCGCGATTCTACCAACGAGATCATCCTCCATTTGCTTAAGTCCCTGGAAAAATAAAAAATATTTCCAGTAGTGAATGATTCCCTTTAAACAGAAATATTCTCAACCAAATGGAAGTCATACAGCTTACACGGGCCCGCTGTAGCCCCCATGAAGTCTGGCAATATCAGGCTTTGGGCAATGCTTCGCGGACATGTGTGGCTCCTAAAGCTCTGCGGTAAGCCGGCTCCTTCTCAAAAAGTCCTCCAGTGCACCCAAAGGTCGACATCAGGACGGTGTGCCCTTTGTTGCGAGTATCTTCTAGACTTCTTTTTATGGGGAAACCGCCCTTTTGAAAGCTGCATGGCCGAAACATGCTATTTCACTTCTTTATTTTGTGTGTGTGTGACCTTTTGCAGATCTCCGCCCCATCCCGCTCGATGTCTTTGAGTGGCAGTCTTTTGTGAAGTGCTTGTTTGATCTAATATTGGGCATTTCAGGAATTGGTGGTTTGGAGATTTGAACTTCCCGTTTGAAGCCCAATGTTTGGCAGACACCAAACCAAACATCGAACACAAAGAGTCACCGCAAGGACGAAGACTCTGCGGTTTCCAAACAAAAACAACTCTTCTTTGGGAAAGGCGAGCGTTTCAAATCACGAGCCCGCCGTTTTTTCCCCTTTTTTCTTCCCCCCCACCCCGTTTTTCTTTTTTTTCTCTTTTTTTCTCCGTTTTCTTTCTCTTTCCCCCCCGTTATTTTTTCTTTTCTTTTTCCGGTTGGACCCTCATGCATCTTTTTGAGGTGCTGGGCTTCACGGAGTGCCTCAGCCGCCACGTGGCGGTCCGAAACCTGGGGCTGGACAGCGCCTACTGGACCCGCGGGGTGGGGGGGGATTCCTTTTGTTTTACCTTTTTTTCCGATGAGAACATCCGGGAGCCAAGTGTATAGGTTTTGGAGGGTTTGACCATTGTCGCATGTTTGAGGCTGGTGATGGAGTTTCTTGTGGCGAACTGGTTGCGCCGGTTTGGCCCAGATACGAAAGTTAGCTTTGCATCATGCGTGGTGCAGAATGCCACCCCAGGAAGGACCTGTGCGGCAGGTTCTTATCCCGAACCTTCTTACATGCCATTCGCAGAAGGAAGCTGAGAACAAAATCGCCGTGTCTGTGGACACTATGTTGTTGGGTGCTCCATGCGGCACTCTTGCATGTAATGGAAGCACAGCTGGAGTGAGCCCGCCCTGCGTGAGTGTGCCAAAAAAGGAGTCAGAGAACAACGGCGCGACGGACATGGACCAACTAAACAGCCAGCAGCGGAAATGGAGCAGAGCGATAGGTTGCTTGCAGAGCCCCCCGGCTCTGCAGCTTATGGATCCGCAAGGATTTGGGCCTTTGCTTGCAGACTGCACGAGAAGGAGAGCAAGGAGCTCAAGGGCAAGCGTTGGACTGCTTTGACAGGGTTCCCAAAGTTTCCCTCTTTGCTAGTCGTAGTTATAGACGTCGCCTTGTTTGTTTGTTTGTTTGTTTGTTTGTTTGTTTGTTTGTTTGGGTTGGGTTGGGTTGGGTTGGGTTGGGTTGGGTTGGGTTGGTTTGGTTTGGTTTGGTTTGGTTTGCTTCTTTGTTTGTTCGCTTTGTTTTGTTTGGTTGTTTGGTTTGTTTGGGCTCGTTCTGTCTTATTTGCATGCCCAGCTTAATCAGCTACACCTGCAGCGAAATGCAGTTGCCACACCCGCAAGATCGACAAGAGCATGTCCTGCGCCTGATGCTGGAACCGGTTGTCTGTACATGGCAAAAGCTTCACGTGTGATCTTGTCACACTGAGGAGTGTGCTCTATAGTCATGTGCAAGTTCCTCATGTGACCACTGCTGAGGAGTATCGGAACGGCACCTTGCTCAAGGATGTCGATGTTAGTGCTCGACCTTCAACGTGGGATTCCGAGGATGAGGCGGGGCGGAGGCCGAAAGACGAGCATTCCTCTCTCGCGTTCTGTTTGGCTTCAATTGAAATTTATCGGCTTCAGCTGCCGCCTTAGAGAAAGAGGAACCCGCAGCAGAGGAGGCGCGTTCTGTTCTGTGTTCATTGTTCTTGATCGCTGGCTTGCCACTTGCAAGTGCGGCTTCGCAGCTCCAGCTTAGTTCCTGCCGTCCTCGCCCACAAGCGGCGAGAGACTACCCTGGGCAATTTGCTGCCTGGCTGGCCAGCGCGGAGGGCAGGCCCGAAGAAGGGCCTGTCTGCCGACACGGCGAGCCTTATTACGTTGTGGGGTGTTTTTGGTCAGGGATGTCAGGGGTTGTTCGTGCCCAGCAGAACAGCTGCAGACTGTGTCAACAAACTCTCTTAGCAATGTCCGCTTTCACGTCCACAACGCTTTGTGCGTGATGTCCAACATTGCCTGGCCGGAGAGCGTGCGGACCAGACTGGACAGATGGTTGTTGTTGCACGTCCGTTCGGCTGCGTCCGTTCGGCTGCCCCTTGCTTTCCCATGCTGCTCGGAAGGCTTCGACGTGCTTCGCGACTGTTCCTTGCATCAAAATTTGGCACCTTGCGCTTCAGGGTGGGCCATTCTTGTTATAGAAAGGACCACGAACATCGATGCGTTTAAAAAGGCCCCAGATGCTTGCGGTCGACGGTTCCCTCAACAGGTGCAAAAAGTGGTTGAATGAATTTGCCGACCACGCAGCACCTGCAAAAGCAAGGCCTCAGCAGAGCCTGCAGGAGTAGTCACGCGTTTCCAAACACCAAAAGCTTGGCCACATGCAGATTTGCCACACAGATCTTCATAGGTTGTGATGGAGAAAAAACTTGTATCTTCCGCACATGGCCCGTGTGCTACCCAAAGCCCCTGCACACCTACCATCTGTCTGGCGACTTCAACCGCATATCTCCGAACCGGCTGATGGCTTGCTTTGCAGCCCAGGCTGCGCGTCGCGCAGAAGGCCATGCTATCCTCACACAGTCTTTTCAGGGGACAAAAAAGACGATGTCTTCATTTGGAAGACGATTGGGGCAGCATTTATGTCACGCCGCCAAACGCGATTTGCCATGGAGGCGGCTCTAAGAGCCCGCGCTTGCGGGCAGTGTCGAGGCGCAACAAGAAGAGCCTGTTGAAGAGAGAGCAAGGGTTTCAAGCAACGGCCCTAGCAAATCCCTGTAACAAACGGGCCGACATGACGGCCTTCTTGGGGATCCGTTTTTCGAAGTGGAACAGAAAGATCGGACGCGACGTTTGCAGCAGCTAAGCGCGAGTCGGTGGGCGGGTGCGGGCCTCTAATTAACTGCCGCAGGCGGCACGGGCCGAGCCGGATGTCCCAGCAGCGGAGTCGGGAGGCTGCCTCGTGAGTTGCGGAGGCACTGCCTTGTTCCCAGATATGGTGTAAGCAGATGGCACAGTTCCATGTGGACGTGCGCTCAGCCCCATTCCTTTGCCACAGATGACGAAGACAGGAGAGCAGCAAATGGTTAGATGTCCCGCTCCAAGCTACCCAAGCACGGCTACAACGGCGCAGGAATCTTGACACCCTTTTGCTGACCTGCGTTTGTTCATCCAGACAGATTGAAGTCGCGAGCTTCTGAGTGCCAGCAACGAGTCGCACAAGACACGTTCTGCTGAACCTGCCCAACACAAATAAAAATAGTCTAGAAAAACGTCGCGGGGCTTCCATGCTTTTTTCGTTCTTGCTATCACTCGGCGAGATCGCTTGTGTGACGAGCAAAAAAGAGCCTCGAACTCAAACAACATGTGTCAAACGCGGGCGCTTTGCCGGGCGCTTTGCCGGGTCTCCTGCACGGGTACATCGAGCAAGTGACTGCAGCGCATCGCCGACAGCAGCTCACGCGCCGTGGGCCGCTTACATGCCTGCGAGCGACTTCCGACGTAAGCTGCTCTTGGTCATGGAGGGCAAAGCCAAGGCGCAACAACAAACAGCGCAGCCTTGACCGAAAGCTGCCCATGAATTGAGGCAAAACGCGCAGGCGAGCCAATATGAGCAGCACAATCTGCATGAGTAGCGTAAGCCCGTAAGCGCAGTCAGTGTAAACTAGCGTGGCTGCGCAAGACAGCTAGCGGACAGGGCAGTCAGCGTACGCAGCGTAGCCAGCGTAAGACAACAGAAGCCAGCAAAGCAGCGTGTTCGTTTTTTGCGTAACGGTGTAACAGCGTAATGCGACGCGGTTTGCCCCATGCTCTGCTCTTTATGTTTGTTTTTCCCTTTGTTTGTTTGTTTGTTTGTTTGTTGTTTGTGTGTTTGTTTGTTTGTTTGTTTGTTTGTTTGTTTGTTTGATTGTTTGTTTGTTTGTTTGTTTGTTTGTTTGTTTGTTTGTTTGTTTGTTTGACTGGTTGGTTGGTTGGTTGGTTGGTTGGTTTGGTTTGGTCGTGTTTGTTTTTTCTTTTGTTCGTTTTTGTTTTGCTTGTTTGTTTCTTTTTTAGTTAATGGTTGTATTGTTTTATTTGTTTGTTTGTTTGGTCGTTCGCTTCTTTGTGGTTTCGTTTTCCTTCTTTCATTCTTTCTCGATTTTTTTGTTTGTTTATTTATTTCTTTGTTGTTTTGTGTTGTTTGGTATTGTTTTGTTCTGTCCTGTCCTGTCCTGTCCTGTCCTGTCCTGTCCTGTCTGTCTGTCTGTCTGTCTGTCTGTCTGTCTGTCTGTCTGTTTTTTGTCTGCTTTTTGTTTGTTTTGTTTTTTGTTTGATTGTTTGATTGTTTGTTTGTTGTTTTGTTTTGTTGTGTTTTACTTTTTGTTTGCTTTGTTTTTCTTTGCTTGGTGTTTTGTTTGGTTTTGTTTTGTTTGTCGTGTTTTGTCTTCGTCTTTCTTGTTTTGCCGCCCCTTGTTTTGATGCTTTCCTCGAGTTTTTGCTGCGCTTGGCTTGCCGGTTGGCCTTTGTTGCCTCTTCGGGCTTCGGTTCAGCAGTTTGGCGGGGCCGAACGGGAAGATGTCCGTTGGGAGCTTCCATTTGGCTCTGTCCTTTTTTTCATGGTAGCCTTTTTTGGGGCTTTTAGCAGGACACCAAAGGGAAACCGGCCGTTTTGGTGGGGTCCCCCTTTGGAGAGCCAATGGGAAGCCCCTTGCTTGTTTTGGACCCAAGGTGAGATCGCCAACACTCCAGCAGAGGCCGCAGCGAGTTTTGCACCAGAGACGTTTGGGGGCGACTACTTGGCCCGGCATTTTTGTTTCATCCTTTGAATAAGGGGGGCTATGTACCCTTTTCTTTTTGTTTTTTGTTTGGGGGGGGGTGCCATGTATCCCATGTTCCCCGGTTGCTCTTGGCGCTGTGACTTTGTATGCAGCCCAAGGCTTGCATGAGAGTCCCCGAGTATTTGGAAACCGAGCGGTGGCCCACCGTGCCGTGGGCATTTCAAGAACTGATTAGGTAGTGACATGGCTGTGGGTCAAAACAAATGGGATCCCATTTTTGGGTAGGTGAATTCACTACCCATTGTAGTCTATTTTAGTGGGGATTGGGATGTTCACTGGGGGTCCACGGCATGGGTCGCTAGAAAGGGAAGAAGAACGGGAGACCCGGTTTCTTTTTGGAAACTGCTGGGATCGCATGCTTGCGACCTGCTTTTGGCGAGTTTGTCATCGCCCAGTGAAATATCATCCGCACACGTTGCCAGCGCATCACCTCGGATTGGGCATGTGACAATTCTTTTCGGGCCCCGGCGGCTTCCCTCCAAACCACAACTTCGCTTCGGAAACTTTGCTCGGCTGTACACCAAAAAGTGGTGGCTTCGGACCCCCCAAAACGGCATCGGTTTTCCTCTTGGCTTCTTTTCTTTGAGCCGCCGGGTTTAGGAGCGAAATGGACGCAAATGGAACCTTGCAACGTCTCCGAACCCCGCCAGGCGGGCTTCTACCGGCCGATGGAGACCTGCAAGTTTCGGGTCCTCCTGGTGATGAGCCCCGAGGTCGATCGAACTGGACGGCGTTCGGCTGATGGGCTGAAACAACGAACTTCCGGGCGGGGGGGTTCCAGATCCCCCCCCTGTTAAAAGGG